GTAACAATGTTTTAGTCAATGTCTTACCGATAGAAATACTCCGGTGTTAGGATATTTTCCTGAGATCTAAGATAAAAAATAACTTATATCATAATTATATCTTAATTAAACTAAAGAATATCTACAAACTTAATACTGGATGCCCTTGAAAGTATAAATGATACGTATAAATTTACAAATTCTAATAGATGTCAAAGTATAATAAATTTTCGATTCATGAAAAAAATCTCCTAAGTAGTATTGCTATCTTCAATTACGTAGGATATAGGGTTGTACATAATCGCGCTAAAACTAATTTTTTATAATTAATTGCTCGATGATAAGTAACAGTAACAGCCGTAATTAAAAGATTTAGTTATCAATTCTTATGCATCCTCTATCCGTTGAGACTATTCTAATTCAATGTTAAAAATCAATTTAATGTTAAAGCTTCAGAATCTAGCTTTATTTCTGGCATTTGAATTTCATTTCTATAAGAATTACTAGCTTAGCTATGAAGATATTTACTCCGCAGTACTAGTTGACAGGTATCGATATCATTAACTGAATCATATGCAAGACCTTGTTTATCCCCTATTAAATTCTGAAGAATCAAGACGTTAGCACGAAATCGTGATCTTGTATTACAGAACGCTAATTTTATATGCTATTGATATAAACTGAAATTTGTAACGAGGAAATGTTAGAACTATTGTAGAAACTATACCACGAGTCTACTGCCAGGTTTTTCCTCCATGACATTAACCCTCAGAACGACTCTAAATACTGACGATCTCCTATAGTCAGGAAGAACGGTAACACAACTAGTCTCTCTTAGACATTACTTAACCCAAACTTTATTGGAAGGTCAGTCAATTTATAATGAAACGATACAAATATTAGTAATCAATTTATAGATAATGTTATAAAGCTATGCAATTATCTATTAAAAATATTTAAAAAGTCATAGATAACGCTATTTAAACATATTTCTAGATGAATTATCATATAAAATCTATGTTATGACAGCTACGCAAAAGTTACTCCGTTACAGCTATTAACATTAACAAATAAATAAACCGGTGAATATTAATAAAACGTGAAAATGGAGCGTGTAGGTCGCAAATTCATAATCGGCGTCGCTTACATAACACAGCATACACATAATTTAGAAATTCAATAAAGGCAGCTTTATTTACTCGAGTCATTATATGCATTCTCAACGTTCAGAAACCGAAACTATCCTCCATTCTAAAGTTTAACGTATTTATTAGCTTTTTTTTAAGAATAATATCCAGGTTGTTAATTGCTTTTTTTATTAGGTTTAGTGTTGTTTAAAGGCCTCGCATGTTATTAACGGCTGACAATTAGAGTACATATTGTCCATCCTTACAGTATCTTCCGAATTCGTAAATATCTTAGTCACAAACCAGCTTCGTGACAAGGATAACGTAAAATAAATCTCTAAATCTCTTAAAATCTGCGGATTCAGTATTCCTACTCACAAGAATTTAGACCCCTTTGATTCTACGTTAAACTCAGCTAGACAATTGAGAACTACTTTACTCAACTATCTGACGGGCTTATATACCCTTCTACAGCAGCTAACATTCACGAGTTATGTTATAAAAATACTTAGGTAAGAACATCTACTAACTAATTTTTCACAGCCGAACAGCAATATGTCCATTCACAGAATTATTTCAGTGCACATTACAGCAAAGCATTAAATTTACAGTAACACATTTATAATTAGAGTAATTCCTATTGTAAGTAACTAGTTGTAATATATTATCACTATATTATATTAACCAAATTTAGGTATTTCTTCACGGTAGTTCGTACCGTGACAATCTTTTAAACGTGATTATAATATCTCGCTCATGATCTGTTTTTAAAAGGTAAAGTAATTATTTCTTGTATGATATCAGCTACTTTATAACTTTACTATGAAACTAATTATGAGGTTACACAATAATGAAGATGTCATGTCAGTATTGTATGCATCAACATCAATCGATTAAAAAGTTGTCCCAATAATTTGAAATTATGTTAGTGCATAACTAGTATATAAGTTTACGTTATGATATATTTTTTTTAAATATACTGTAAAGAAAAAACGCCGCATTTGTGCTCATATGCACTGCTAAGCTGACTAAAAATAGCTGTATATAGTATAATAAATTCCCTTCAAAATAGTGAAGTAAGAACTACAGTTTCTTGTATCTTTCACTTCATTACATAAAAATCACATTTATCTTACGACTATCAAGGACTATCTACCTACAATCAGACTACTAAATTTTGCAGCCAAATTCATGACTTCTACGTGCAATTGGTTACAGGATGATTAATAATTTTAATTTTAAGCTAAGTTGAGGCTGTACAGTGTATATTTTAGACATCATGTTAGCCTACTTTCTTTAAAAGTTGGTTCGTGATTCACTGTAATATTAGCATACAAGTATTGAGGGTTTCAATCCTATCAAGATGATCCCACTGGTTATCTACAATAAGTGATTGCCCCACAATGTAATGAACAAGTACCTTTTGGCATGCAAAATCGCAAATTATAGGCCTAAAATATAAAGATATTCTAATCGCTAGAATATTTTGATTAAATTAGGACATTCTGATCAATTGTACCTTTGCAATTATGAGAAAGGTGTATTGAGTGAATGAATACGGAATCCAATAGTGAACTGGACATTACATTTAATTTAGGTACAGTTTCTATTCCATCTACGGCTTTCTTACCAATACTTCTGACGAAGCAATAACTATTTAAAGCAACCTATTTTGAAATCTTTGCTGTTAGCTTCGGTAAATGATTGAATTTTTATCAAAAATGCTAAAACTAAAATTTTAATGAACCTGGAAATAAATTAAGCCGGACCTAACGTGAAGGCATCAAGTTTCAAATAAAGCTCTCAGTTACATACTATTTTGACTATTGAAGATGATAAGATCCTTTGACCTCGTCGTAAACAACTAAATTTTGGCATCCATGTGACTTAATTTGAACCCAGATTAAATTCGGATTAGCAATAAAGCTAATTTTATAGTATTGGAGAGACAGTGGGAAAGTTGAAGGTATTGGATTCTAAAATTTACTTCAAACAAATAATAATAAATTATTGATTTTGATTGAAAGCCAGATAACGTCTATTGTAATTTTTTATTACTAATAGCACAGTTAATAATTCATGTCCACGAGTATGCTATGATTTTTTTGTAACCTCTGCGATTATGTTACTTTTAGACAAAGTCAATAAACATCTTTTCTATCAATTAATTACTGCAATTTTTTATATGTAGCTTAAATTATTTTTTATAAACATTCTTGTGTATACTTCTATATTTTCCAAACTTGGTTCTATGTATATATACATTTTAAATTCGATAAAATTATGTTTACCGTCAATTTATAACTTGATTATTTGACGTAAAAGCCAATGCTTAGTGGTTTAGAATTAAAGTTAGAAAATAGCTATCTATAACTATACATTTCTAAAGTAATAACTAATAGGTCCTAGCTAAAGCGCTCTCACTAACTAATTCAATCAATACTATCTAGATGCTACATATAGCATGTTCAACTTGAATTGCAGTATTCTTATAACCGAGGTACTCGAATAAGCTAAATAAATATCGGTAATGCTATCTTGATGTCTTCCTAAGCATCAATATTTAGCTTCACTATGCTTCATTACTTGGCTGGCGTAAATCAAAATCGATTAATTTAAGGAAATAGATGTAAGCTAATGCAATAAGTTATTTCAAATACAACAGAAAATAATGCTGTCTACGCAAATATTAAAAATGGCACAGTGTCTTTTGAAGAGACCATTATTAATCATTAATTGTAACTATGCATCATCCATAATTAATGGCCTTGATAGACTATGACCATACTTATTTCAAGGCCGTATCACAAGTTTATTATGAATAATAAAATTAGAATGTACTATGAAAGTAGTGTAGAATTAACGACAGGTGCATTTTAATGCAACAACTTAGAGAAATACTGGAATCTTTTCTTTTAACATAGAATGCTTATCTAATTAAGAACCTTTTATTAGATGATATTATTATTCTATTTTCTATTCAATAACTTTAATGTTGAATTAGAAAAGAATATTTATTGTTCGATGGATGAGAATTTTCCGCTGTCAAATCAAATGTAAACTCATCAATTTAATTATCTTGGGTATATCTTCAAGGTATCCAAAGTTCCTAATTCATTTTCTCTCAGCAGTACTATAGCATGGCTTTATGATGGCTATTTAGCAGATTTTCAGAACCAATAGTTTTGATCTGGATGCCTTTTCAAATCCTAACAAGCGATTATCATTTGAAGTATACCTATTAAAATAATATTATCAACTTCTTTCTATCTCAACCAACATACAACCAGCATCATTTATTCCTGCATTTATAACAGATTGGTATTAATGATATTAATCTTTTTAAATAATTTTTTATTTTAAAATATTATTACAAAAATTAACAGCCATAAATCAACTTTTCTTTTATTGAAGAAGCCAACTGTTCTCTGTTAAGGAATTTTCTCAACTCAAACCTTGCTGTAAGATCATTACCACTTTATCACGACTTTCCAACTTGATTTATGTAGCCATTTCTATTCTTTGAAAGCACTAATTAAAATTGACCAACATCATTTAAAGGAACCAGTCAATATTTTGAAATCATCTCTAGAATCAATTAGCAGCTCCAAACTATAGTTGATTAAAAATAATTTCTGAATTCAAGTCTAAATACTTTCATCGTTCGTCTGTGCCATTCATCCAGGAATTGTCAGTGCAATTCTGAAAGCTTTATGCTGTCACTGTCATTTCAATAATAATATAATAGTTTTAATTTCTTCAGTCGTCTCTGTTCAAGAAGATCACATTGGGCCAAAAACCTTCCTAACTTTCGTTGATCAATTTTAAAGTATTTAAACTATCCTATCGTTTTTTTCTTCTTAGTTTAATCTTGATTTATTTTCAAATTCCATCATGGCAAGTAGTGGTTTTAGCACCACAGTTAGTACAACTAATTCTACTAATTCTTCTGAATCCGTTTATGATGGAGGAATCGGTACACAAATTGCTTTCGGTATGGTTGCTGGTATTTCCGTTGTTGGTAATGCCTTAGTCTTCATTGTGCTCATGTATAGCCGTAAATTACGAAGTTATCCGCACGGTGTTTTAATTTGGAATTTAGCTCTTGTCGATTTTCTAACCGGCATCTTTATTATCGTTACTCCGGAGCATATTATTAGGGATGGTTACATTCAACCACCACCTGGTTTGGGTGCTCATATATTTTGTGTGGCTATTGGTTCAGAGGTATTTACCTTTGGATTTGGTTTTATATCCATGTATACATTGGTAGTATTAGGTATTGAAAGACGGTATGCCGTAGTCAAAGCCAATCTGCATCCTCGTTATTTTACTTTAACTCGTACTCGAATCATGTTAGTCTTTGTCTGGATTTGGGGTTTCGTCTTAGTTTTAGGCAACCTCTGGCAAACTCATTATTATCCAGATGAAAATCCATCATGCGTATGGAAAAATTTACCTGATGAAGCACTGCATTTTACGATTTACTCACTTTATTTTTTCTTACGGTTTTTATTACCGATGGTAATGATAATCGCATGCTATCTTAATATCTTGCGCTACATGAGAACGACCATTCGCAGCTTTTCTGATCAAATGAAACGCAACACGGCTGCTTATAAAATGAGAAACAAAATTACCATTACTTGTGCTGTGACATCATTAGCTTTCTTTCTGTGCTGGTTGCCTAATATCGTCTATTTCACATTAGCTAATTTAAACCTTCTGAAAACGGGCAACGATGGCCATTTTCTTACCAAGTTACTTGTCCTACTCAATTCTGCTATTAATCCGTTCATTTACGCTAGCACTAATCCTTATTATCGTCAAGAATTTCGCAAAATGTTGCATCGATTTCAATGTCTAAGTAATAAAAAACATAAGCCTAACCCCGGAATAACAAATAGCTTTAAAATTCCCGAAATTATTTTACCAAATAAACAAACTGGATCGAATCCTGCATTGGCATAAATAAGGACGCAACTTTTCTTCAATACAATACCAATCATCTTTCATATACTGTAAATTATGGGCACTCAAACATTAAACGAAGAGATGACTGAACAAAGCTAAAGCAGCGCCTAGGCTATATTTTACGGATAATCGAAAAACTATCCAGCCTTTTAATGATATGGAATACTATTAAATATTTTACTCGTACAGGTAACAAAAATATACTCGATGAATGTTTTATTGCAATGAATTCAATAAAATATCCAATAGATAGACTAAGCATAAGCAATTCTAAAACTTGATATTAATACGCGCTATGTTATATAATTCTCAATAAGACTAAATTTTACATATGAATATATATACAAGATTTAAATAAGTCAAGACTGCTTGCCTAGAAATTAGCTAGGGGCAGAAATTTAATATTATTTAGGGAAACAAAGAAAAAATTGATTGAAAATGTTGTATTGATAGATTGCTTCTCAACATCTTCCAGAAATGAATTTAAAAATTATTAAAATTTCTTTTTTTGTCATGGTCATCAGCAACATATAAATAGAAAGATAAGTTTTCTTCATAACATGTACAGTAAATTAATAGCTTAATTACAGATAAAATTTCCATTTTATTATAACCTATGTTTTGTAAACGGTTAAAGTATTTTTAGCATTTAGACCGAAAGTTACAATTGCTTCTCGTCACCCTGACGAGAAGCATAATGTCTATGTACTTATATAAAAAGTTATCATCTTCTTACCAGAAACTCATCCTATAGACAACCTGAAAGAATTACTTTCTCTATTGAAAGTATCATTGATTATAATTAATCATATTAACCTACTAATAGGGAAAGATAATTTTTTGGCCAAAAGATATTATACAAGTTTCAAACCGTATAAAAATTTTTCTTGAATGCGCTTTTTACAGGTGTTTAAACGCATGAAATGGCATTAAAATGATACTTTTATTGCTTTCTTCCATTTATCATATTAGTATAGCTTGCTAAATTTCAACTTTATTTAGAAGTTTATTGAAGATAGAATCAGAAATAAATTATTCAGCCTGAAAGCTTATGTACCATCATTGTTGACGATTTTGTAAATTGCCTAAACTTAATATCCTTTCTGGCAATTACTGTATAAGTATTTTCTTTGTTGCAATATTTATGTCTCTTTTTATTCTTACGCCCGTCGATGAAAATATTACTGAAAGTGTGAGATAAATTGGTCTGCCCAGAAATATGTTATCTATATTACCGTAACTGCTAAAATGGATAACGAATTAGACATAAATTACGTCCACTTCTACTTGTATATGAACTTTTCATAGCTTAGCAATGTCTGGCTTTCTAATTTTAAGAGTTAATGTGGTTAAAAAAAGTTCGGTTTATGTATTGGTATTAATTGTTTCGATTCTACCGTTTAATGTATTCAAAATGAAGATGATACTATTACTAAATATAACTTAACGAGATTATTCTAATTCGACATAGTTCTAATAGAACTAGGATCTGTTGAACTATTCTATTTATTCATCAACCCATTGTAATAATGATCATACGCATATGGTAGAAGAGAATTATTACGAATTTGAATAATTCAATGAATAAACAAATGAAAACTAACTCAGTCTTTCGATTTTCTTTTATTCCAATAAGTAGAGAGACATTTACCTCATCTATGATAAATTCTATCCTTCTTTTGTACAATATCTATTTCATTATGTTACTCTATAGCATGTTGGGGAGTCAAACATAACTACGAGTATTAACGAGTCATAGACTATTTTGTCAATTCATTTTAAAACCTACAATTGCTGAAATGTAGCTATTCATCATTGTCCACTAATAGCAGTTGTTACTAGTTGGTACAATGTATATTTTGCTGAGAAATTGAAATTGCAGCTCTCCATTCTATAACATCGGTATAATAGCGTCTGATGATCTAAATTCATTGAAGATAGGCATTTGAATTTATTTTTCAAAACTTTATAGGTACTGTACTATAGAATTTTATCATATTGCTATTTAATAGTAGTAAAACGACGAATAATTAACTATCTTTAAGTTGGATAATTCCCTGATCAATATCTTTTCCTTAAGTGGTTATTACCAAATCCGTAAAAGGATGAGAGGAGAAATGTATACGTTTATGAAACTATTTTAAAATTGCCCAACGATATTGCATCAATTTGTTTTCCTGGATTGTATTCCTACTTTCCTTTCACTGTCTTATTGAGTCAACAGTACCTGTATGCGATATTTTGAGATAATGATAATGTTAATAATCATTGTCAATAACAACAGACAATGGCTTATTTTATCACATTTTGTAAGCAATCAGGGATGAAATTTGCTAGTAAATCAAGAAGCACAACAATTACATCTGACGTCCATAGGACAATAAGATTTCTTATTTTTTGTTTTGAACAGAAATGAAACTATAAAGAATTCTGCTTTAGTCTGTGTGTTGACAGTTTATATTAAAATCTAAATGAAAGAAACTACCTTATTACTATTATCCCAAATGGACGGCTTAATTTTATATGCGGTTAAATAGTTTCCGTACCTAAAAGGTTGTTTACGACTAAATCTGACGCATTGAACCTATGAAGCTGTATCAACAATATGCAGAATTTGTCTTGATGATAATATTGAATGAAAATAGTAAAGAACGTTTAGGATTTTAAGCTGCAATTTAACTGAAATATCCTTACAGTCATACAAAGTAACTTAATATTTTGATTGTAGACTATTTGCCATGTTTAGTTTGATGTACGGTAGTGTCTTTTCTATATTTATCTTATGATATTTAGTGGCCCATAATTATGGACTGTAAGGATAGACTCTATGCTAGAGTACATATAACTATATACAATAAGACGCTGAGCAACTAATAAGGTTAGAGGTAGAAATAAAACTGTAAATCATATATTAGTATATGCTTAGTACATTGTACTTTGAGAGATAGGAATAATGTCTACGAAAATATCGTAATTATTTCATATTGGATTAATGATGATTCACAGTAAAATATTGTAACTACTAATAAGCTGAATATGTGTAAAATATGGTAGAATGCTGCTATGCTAATTGTAGCTGCGAAGGTAGCGAGAGAGAATAAAAGCAGGAGGCATTAGATTATCTGATTGTTCTTTCTAGAAGTCTTTCAGTAGTTGTATTCGGCTACAGTAGAGGTATGTGTAGATAGTCTTTGTATTAGATCTAGTAAAGTCCTAATTTTTGCGATCGAATTTTATCACAAGTGATCATTGATATTCCCACGTTTGGAAAATGTGAATATTTAGCATTGAAAATTGATAACAAAAATCAAATTGAATTTGCATGCCGTGGTATTCTTTGTCAATCACACAATAATAATCCTCTGATGCCTTTTATCAAGAAAATAATTTACCGTGTTAGCTCTATAATGATAGTAAAATTTTGATCATAATCCCTATCTCTAGTTTTATATCTTAGTGGGCTTAAGTTAAGGCATATAGTCAATAATGTAGCAAATTAATATATGTCGGTTATTAAAATTGGCTTTCGAAACAGTTTTCGATGGAATGTTGTTTACCTTTTAGCTTAACTGTATGTTTTACCTCCATAAATAAGTTTAATAGCAAATTTTCTTCCGTAGCGCAGAATATTTTTATCATACTTATTTATCGACATTAATAATACTCGAAATTGAATTTGGAAACGGATATTTGGTCTACGCGAATAACTCACAACGTTAATTACCATAGTGATTTTATTTCCTTAGCCTAAATCAAAAGTTTGGCAATGATCTCTCTAAAGCTAATAGATCTTAACTAAAATTTTTCTTAAAAACTTTAAGGAAAGAATTTGTAGACAATGACAATATTTCTTTATAATTGGTGATAATAGTCGATATTTGTTTTTTTGAAATGCTTATAAGGATAAATATACGTTACTTACATACGGGGTGCACACATTAATTAGGTTGATTACTCGATATTTTTGTAGAGCACTGAAGCTATATTAAGTTTGGAAGGACTAAAAGTAGAAATTATTATGCTCATGGAATGATTTCTCAAGTTTACTTAAGCTTTAACTAATATCAGGTAAAAATTATCCTGATTTCTTTAACGCAAAGAACATCGCAAATTATAATATTTATAACTTTTGCCTCATAAAAGAGTGACACATTTTAATGAGAAAAATAACCTGCTAATGAAATTAAATTCTATTGAATTATTTTTATACTTACAATAGATCCTTATTATAAAATATAAATAGATAGAATTATTTGAGATATTTTCATTAGATAAGATTTTCATTAATGTCATCTCGTGACATTTCAGACTTATCTACTTATTCACTTCCATAATTATTTGATATAATTCCATATTTTATAGCCTATAGAGAAATATGAGTGAATAAATAAAATTAAGATCGGTGCTTTATTGATTCGGTAAAGATTCAGTAGTGAATCAATCTAGTGTACGGCATCTCATATGGAATATTACACCAATTAAGATAATATCGTAACGATTTTTGAACTTTTTTGTTTGTAAATAGTAAATAGAAATTAGTGCTGACGTAATTTTATATAGGAAATAAGTTAGCCAGGAGCAGAAGATCTTCTCTGGAGTTGGAAAGAAATATTAGACTCAATTACGTATGGTTACCGAAGCTATTAGCCGAATTAGAGCTTAGAATATTACTCAATGTAAAAAATAACTTTCCCGATAAGTGTTCGTGAATACCACTTCCGCATTATGTAGTCCAGATTGTGATAAAAATAGATTTACTATTCTTACACCATACTATATTTGACAGAGGCCCTTTCTCTCACTCTATGCCCTCCTTAAGAATAAGATAAAAATTATAAATAAATAAATATATTGATGTTATTACATAAATATAGCATAATTTGACAAAAATATAATGCGAAAATAAGGGTGTGATGGCCATTGAAAATAATATCCTATTAATTATAGTGATGTCCTATTTCAATGTTAACATAGTCCTATCTGCCTCGCTCACCACT